ATATATATATATATAAAACAAATGCAACGCACTGCCGTTGAGTCAGATCCGACTTATAGCAACCCCTCCTTGGGTTTCTGAGGGAGTATCACTATGGGAGTAGATTGCCCAAACTTTCTTCTGAGGAATGTCTGGTGTGTTTGAACTGCCAGCCTTCTGGTTAGTAGTCAAATGCCTTAGGCACTATGCCACCAGAGCTCCTATATGTGTGTGTATGTGTATTAAAAGTTTAAAGATGATGATCTGGAGAGTGAAAACTTCTGGTAAACCAGACAGGTGAGCCTGAAGTCCTTTCCCTTCTTAGGAAGATTGGTGGTGGGTGGGCTGTGGCTGGGAGGGTGGGTGAAAAGGATTCTTATGTCCTGAGGACATCACTGGTTCTGCCATCTGTCTACTGTGGTCAGTGGTGCCCTTAGGATTACACTTGATGAAGCTGGCAGTGAGTGGGTCAGGAATGCACCCAGCCTGAAGCAATGGCAGCAGATGAGACATGGACAGGCTGGGCACAGCATCTGCCACTGACCCCAGCACTAAGCAGGTGTTCAAGAAACCCGGGAAGGAAGGAAAGAAGGGAGAGAGGGAGGAAGAGATGTGGGGGTCAAGGGGGGTGAATGGAAGGGAGGGAAAAAATTCTGAATGGCTGGTACTTATTACTAGAGAATTTGGTGCATAGAAGAAACCAGCTCTGAGACTCTTGAAAAAGAAATATAAAACTAGGTCTCTCTGTTTGCCTGTCATCACACCATGTGAAAATGGCTGGTAGGATTTTCATGAAATCTGAGGGTTGTGTTTGGGATGGTTGGACTTCAATACACAGGTGGGTATCATACACAAAATTGACTTTAGGGGAACTTGGAGGGCTCCTTGAAGAGATGGGCAGACACCTTCTGGAGCAGGTACAACTGAAGCATGCTAACAGGACCCCAGGGCACCCACAGGAGCAGTGTGCTCACCATGGTTAGGGGAGTGCACAGAGAAAGTGCCAGGAGTTTCACATGCAAGCCCCAGTCACAGAGTCAGTTGCCAGTATTGATGTGTGAGTGAGCTGGTCTGTGGAGGCCACGCTGTCCAGTGTCCCCAGGTGAGCGATAGCAGCCAGGGACTGACTTGTTGTTGTTGTTGTTATGTGCCGTCGAGTCAGACCCAACTCATAGCGACCCCTTCTTGGGTTTCCGCAGTATCACTACGGAAGTAGATTGCCCCATCTTCCTTCTGAGGAGTGGCTGGTGGGTTTGAACCACCAGCCTTCTGG